AGAGTAGGCTGTTGATGCTAAAGGAATCTCTTTAGTATCCCCCTAAAATCCTGAAGTGTGGGCTGGGTGTTTAGAGTAGGGGTAAAAATACCATCTGGGACATTCACATGCTGTACCAGCGAGTCAGTGCAGCAGAGAGCCAGTCCTTCCAACAATCAAGTCTGGATTCCAACTCCAGCTCCCTGCCAATGCGCCTCCTGGGAAGCAGTGAGTGATGACTCAACCACCTGAGTTCCTGCTATCCTTGTGGGAGATTCTGATTCAGTCCTCCAGTTCCTGGCTTTGGTCTGGCCCAGCCCTGGCAACTGCAGGGATTTTATAATGAACCAGTGGATGAAAAATCTTTTCTTTCTCTCTCTCCCCTAACTATGTGGAATCTTTTTTTTTTTTTTTAAAGTTTATTGGGGCCCGGCGTGGTGGCCAGTGGCTAAAGTCCTCACCTTGAATACACCGGGATCCCATATGGGTGCTGGTTCTAATCCTGGCAGCTCCGCTTCCCATCCAGCTCCCTGCTTGTGGCCTGGGAAAGCAGTTGAGGATGGCCCAAAGCCTTGGGACCCTGCACCCATGTGGGAGACCTGGAAGAAGCTCCTGGCTCCTGGCTTTGGATCGGTGCAGTACTAGCTGTTGAGGTCACTTGGGGAGTGAATCATCAGAAGGAAGATCTTCCTCTCTGTCTCTCCTCCTCTCTGTATATCTGACTTTGCAATAAAAAAAAAAATCTTTAAAAAAAGTTTATTATTATTATTATTTTGCTCTCTCATTTTGTCTCTATGTTACATTGGTTTAAATAAATACTTTCTAAAAGTCCCAAGATATAATGTTCTCTGTTTGAGGAGGCCCTGAAGTCAGCCTGCATGCTACAGCTGCCTGCAGGACGTGCTGGCAATCTGAGGGGTGATGGCTGGAGACCCAGACCCACCAGCCTTGCAGGATGCGTGGCCTGCCTGTGTGGCACTGACAGTGATGCCACACAGACTCTAACCAGGATCATTCCGAGAGAAGCTGCTCAGCATTGCAATACAATGGCCAACACCTTAGCACCCCACAGTTGCTGAGGAAGAATGCTTCCTAGAATTTGGAGCTTCACATTTGAAAGATCTCATTCTGGTGACAGTTCACACCCATTAGCATATAACTACTTGAACATATACATACAAGTGAAAGTTCTCCCAGCATCACTCCACAGAACTCGAGCCAAGACAGTTGACATTCACTCCTGCCGTTACTTCTGATCGGGTGCACTTTAAAAGCATCCCTTGCTGGAAAGGCATTTGATACGCTGCTTGGGGCACCTGCACCCTGTATCACTGCTGGCTGTGCTTCTCATCCAGCCTCCTAATAAACATTCAGGCAGGCATTAGTGACGGTCTGAGTCCCTCTGGGTCCCAACCACCCACACAGGACACTGAATTAAACTCCAGAGCATCGGCTTTAACCCTGCCCAGCCTTGGCTTGGGGAGTTAGTCAGCAGTTGGGCGATCTCTCTCTCTCTCTCTCTCTGGCTCCCCTGCAATTTTAAATAAAGTAAAAATGCATTAAAAAAAAAAAACAAAAAGGACGTAACACAGCTTCCTGTGCAATTGAATATGTACAGCTTTAAGGAAATTCCTCCTGTTGATGGTATAAACTGGTGAAACTGCTCATGAACTCCCAGAGTGGCTTTCAAGTTCGGTTATCCTCCCAGACCGTCCTGTAAATCCGATGGCGGTTCTGGCCACTCAGTCAGCACGCTGGCTGCATCCGCTCCCCAGCTCAGCGACTTTCACAGTACGTTGATGGAAGTGAAGGAAAGGCATTACATTAAGACAGAAGCAAATGCCAGGTGCAATACGGCAAAGTGACCTGTATAATGCATGCTAACATACGCTAACAAGTTCTCATTTTGTCTTTGAGCTGCACATAATAACTGCCTCTCTTGTCTGTTTCTATTAGGGAGCATGAAGCAACCTTTGAAATCCTCTGGACTGCTCTCTACAAGATAGAGAAATACATTTCTTAAAGATTTAGTAAAATTCAGACTTACTAGGACTTAAAAAATTTTTTCTGGTTTTAAAATTAAGCTGGTTTTTAACATTTTTGCTATATCTACTTCTTATGTAGAAACAATATATACACACGCATAGTCTATTTTTTTCTTGCAAACAGGGATATTAATATCACAAAGTGAGAGATTTAAAACAATGATCATGATGTAATGGCAAATGAAGGACATACCGTCATGCATTTGGCATAATTTGATGAAGCAATATTTATAACTATATGCCAAATAATATGGCAATCACACAGTTTTCATACTCTGCACATTTTATCTCCCCCAAAATAAGAAAAAACACAATATTTGTCTTTCTGGGTCTGGATTATTTCACCTGGAACAATCATCTTTAGGTTTTATCCATTTTGCTGCAAATGTCAGAATTTTCTTTTTTTTTTAAAGATTTATTTTTTTTTTAATTGGAAAGGCGGATATACAGAGAGGAGAGACAGAGAGGAAGATCTTCCATCCGATGATTCACTCCCCAAGTGAGCGCAACGGCCGATGCTATGCCGATCCAAAGCCAGGAGCCTCTTCCAGGTCTCCCACATGGGTGCAGGGTCCCAAGGCTTTGGGCCGTCCTCGACTGCCTTCCCAGGCCACAAGCAGGGAGCTGGATGGGAAGAGGGGCCGCCGGGATTAGAACCGGCGCCCATATGGGATCCCGGGAGTGCAAGGTGAGGACCTTAACCACTGCGCCACTGCACCAGGCCCCAGAATTTTCTTTTTTATGGCTGAATAATATTCCATGGTATATACGTATACCTCAAATTCATTCTTCTAAAATAAGGCTTGAAGATTTACTTCTTTCTTTATTTATTGGAAAGCAGATTTACTAAAAGAAGAAGAGGCAGAGAGAAAAATCTTATATCTACTGGTTCACTCCCCAGAGGCCACAAAGTCTCCACCTGAGCTGATCTGAAGTCAGGAGCCAAGAGCTTCCTCTGAGTCTCCCACATGGGTGCAGGGTCGGAAATTTTGGGCCATCCTCCACTGTTTTCCAAGACTACAAGCAGCAGGGAGTGGAGTGGAAGTGGAGTAGCTGGGACAGGAACTGGTGCCCATGTGGGTTCCCGGTGGAAGCAAGGCAAGGGCTTTAGCCACTGGGCTACCTCGCAGGGCCTTCCGCATCTTCTTTATCCAGTCATGAACGGATGGACACCAAGGTTGACTGTGTGTCTTAGCTGTGGGAGTGCAGGTACCTCTTTCAAAATACGTCGATTTCTTAACTATATTTTGAAGTGTGAATTTTACTTCTTTAATGGTTAAGATTTTATTTCTTTTTGAGTAATATTTAATTTTTGATGAGATACACTGATTTTTTTTTGCAGAAAAATTTTATGCTTCAACTTTTATCTGCGAAACACTGTTCCTGGCATTTAGCTTTCTTTAACAACTGTACTTTCACTTTTTCATTTCTCAGATTCCTTAAATCCTCTGGGATGACAGAACTGCATCTCACTACCAATTCAAGTTGGAGTTTTCTGATCACTAATGAGAATGAACATCCTTGAAAATGGGTATTGACCATGTGTGCTCTTTTCCTGAGAGATGTCTATTCTAACCTAGGAGATTCTTCTGTAGGTTAGCTTTCTCTTTCTTTCTTTCTTTTTTTTTTTAATTTTAATCATTTGAGAAAGGAGGAGAATGAGGTGAAGGGCAAACATAGAAAGAGAAGCACCCATTCGCTGGTTCATTCCTCAATGCCCCACAATGGGTTAGGTCAAGGCCAGATGCTGGGTGCTCTAGCTGGGTCCTCCATGTGTGTGGCAGGGGCCCAAGTACTTGAGTCATCACTGCCGCTTCCCACGAGCGGCTTCTATTCCTCCTCTTATCTCTTTGTATGTTTAAACACAGTCTACTGGTAGGCTCCTCCTTATTTATTATCTGTAGTTCTGGGAGGTATTCCTCATTCGTGGTATCTGCTGACTAGCTCAAGTGGATCATTCTCACCAGTATTTCGTTATCTGACGTGCGGGCATATTTTCAGCAGCCACTGTGCTGCCAGAGAGTTCAAGTGAGCGACTTCACATAGCAAGGATATTATAAATTTGGACTGCGAATGTCATCTGATCCCTTTTTCTTACAAGGGATTTGCTTTTCTCTCCATCCCTCACTCATCTCCCCACCCCCATCCCGCCAACAACAACAACAACAACAAATTCAAGAGAGTATTGAGCTTGCTCGCCGCTCTAGATGGCAAGTGGAACTTTTAAAATGGCGGGCCTGGTTATAGGAACTCAAGGCTTTGTCTCTTGTTCCTTGTCTGGGCATGACATAAAGCCTATAGGCTTACATCCACTTGGTACGACTTCTACACCGTCACCACCACCCTACCTCCACTGCCTGAGGTTGGCACCATCTCAGTGTACGCATAATGGTTGTGATTCTCATTTCTTTTAAAAATTCTGCCTCTAGATATTTCATAGCCCATCTTGAGGGTTCAGCTCTTTTTGAAAAAGAGGCAGAGAAAGAGTTCCCATCCATGGCTTTACTCCCCAAATGCCTGTAATGGCTGCATTGATCTGGACTGGTATCCAGGAACTCAGTCCAGGCCTACAGTGCTAGTGCCAGGGATCCAGTCTCTCAGACCTACTGGCTCCCCAGGGGCACATCAGCCGGGAGATGGAAGTGGGAGTCTACACTGTGATTAGAACTCAGGCACCTTGACACAGAACACAAATGCTACAAAAGCAGGCTTCTTACTGAGGCCAGATGCCCATGTTCATGTACTGACATTGTTTTAAAAGACATTCTTTGGTTTCACATTTCTAAATGACAGAAACAGACGAGTTTTAGTGGCAATTCAATCTTGTGTTTCCAGAACTGAACTCTATCCAAAATGAAACTTTAATTGAAAACAAACAAACAAAAAACTAAATCATATGTGATCAGATGCCATAAAGCTTTTTCTTTTTCATACAACTTATAATAGTATCAGGAGGTTACAAAATCAGATACTTACCAGGCTGGGTTTGATGCCCACACTCTCAGCTGCTTCGAATGCCAACAAGAGATTCCGCTTCTAGTTTAAAAAAGACAAAGAGATTGGTATCATTAACTAAAAAATAAATAGCATTTGCTAGGAAGACACTCCCATTTGAATTGTCCATGATTATAAAACAAATATGTCAAATATGCAAATAATGGCCACAGTTCAAGAAAGACAAAAGATTCATAGGTTATAATTATCATTAAAATCACATCATTGTTACACATCTGACTATAAGTTTATTTTAAGACTCAGGACTTTTCAAATTCTGTTATGTAAAAAATTGTTTAATCATGGTGCCATCCAAAAACGATTATCACAATGAAATATGTACACAGTCAAATGAAAAACTGCTCTTTCTTCCTCACACCTGGCCCTGAGGAGAATTAATTTTTAACCTGTATTATTTTTTTCTGAAGACCATTCTTTTTATTTCTCTGAAATATGTGTACACAACTATTTCTTGATTTCGAAAATGGAGGCATTAGCCCTCCCCGCTCCCCGACTTTCCTCCAAGACAAGTGAGGACTCCAGCATCGCACCATCTTTCTCTTTCCCTCACGTGGTCATGCCGTTAACTGTAACGTGACTGGTTATGTCTCTGAGTATCAACAACAGCCTTTTATTTCCACTTCTTGCACCATCAGCTGCAGACAGCATTCGCTAACTCCACTCTTTGAAAACAAGTGAGTTCCCCTCGTCCTTCCTCCACTTTGTCAAATTTTGTTCTTGTGAATTACTGAAACTTAGCACATGTTCTTCCTTTTCTAGAAGCACCTGGAAGCCTTCTGTGTGGTCTCACAGGGGTGATTGTGAAGGCTGGATACATCACATTCACACGGACAGGGGCTGTGACATTTTTCTTTCTCCATGGGTTCAAAGTCATGATGCTGCCCCACTCAAAAAAAAAAAAATCATTTTCAAAGGATTCTCACCATTGTTACTCTACCACTTGTTTGGAACCACACCCTTTAGTTTGCTCTAGATTTGGACCCTGCCTTTCTTTAGAAATTTTTTTTTCCCCCAGTTACAATTCCTGCTTGCTTTAGATTTTTTATTAGAGCTTTACACTTCCTTCTCACTGGCTCCCACCCAGTCTGATGATTGCTTCTTGTAGCCCATGTTCTCACTTCTAACACAGAAGACCTGTCTCACACTTGGACTGTAGTCTCTTTACACTGCCTCTCATTTTCTCCTTTATCACAATCTCGAGCTCTTAATCACAGTATCATTTATTGAAATCCTTTGGCTGCCCAGAACCTCCTACCAACTTCGGCATGGATAACCCCGTTTCGGCAAAAGGCATTTTTTTGGTTTGCCTCTTTAAGCAAGAACATGGGGGCAGGTACATTTTGTTTCTCTTTTCTACCATCAGGCCTGGTCAGCAGTTTGGCTGGAGAGAGAATCCTGGGCTTTTCCTTGGAATGGGGGCAGCTCTGCTCCACAATCAATGAGCACTGTGAGTAAGCAGCTTCTTGCTGTAGCTCTTCCGGTCTATTCTCTGTCTTCTCGCCCAGATGAATTTAAGGATCATTTGATCATGTCTCTCCAGCTCCATAATTCATTTCAAAGCCATTAGGATTTATTAAAATTTAAATTGGTACATTAATAGAATTGAGTGACAAATGTTTCCTACATATTCATGTTTCATGTTCCTCATTACAGGGCTGTAATTTCATAATCTAGGTTTTATACATAATTTTGTATCCCATCTCATTTCCCCTGTGGCGTTTTTCACCTTCTGCTCTTCCCTGAACATCTGCAGCTTGCTGCTCCAGGAACCAGGTTAGAGAAAAATAGCCAGATGTGGCTTGTTCATCTGTAGCAGAAGCCTGGGAAAGCTAGCGATCTGTGATAATTCTGCTCAAGCTGCCAGCTCTCTGACTTGAAATGGAGGGGGAATCGATGGGAAACCCCACACTTACTCCCTCAACACCTGAGCCGTGTAGTGAATTGGGCCCTTGATTCCTTCAGTTTAAGGCCAAACTGGTGTGAGCAATTTCTTGTTGCAATGCTAATGAAATTTTTATTCTTCTCCCCCAAAGCCCCTTTACAGTTATTTTTGGGGGAAGAAGTGAGCTTGGAAATCAGGTTTTAGTTACTGCCATGCAAGATACAAACATTTTTTATGGTTTCCAAGTTATAGTGGTGAAGATACCACACCAATCTTCAGTTGCCCGTTTTCTGATACCCTTGCCTGCACAGAAAATCAGGATTTCCAAAGCCTCTGCCAGGGATCCAGCTAAACATCACATTCATCCATTCATCCATTCATCCATATGTGTGTGTAAGATTCATTTATTTGAAAGTCAGTTACACAATGAGAGGGAGACACACATACACATACAGATGTTTCGTTTGCTGATTTATTCCCCAGACGGCCAGAGCTGGGCGAGGCTGAAGCCAGCAGCCAGTTTCATCCTGCTTCCATGTGAGTAGCAGGGTTCTAAATATTTGGGCTATCTTCCAGTAATTAGTAGAGAACTGGATCAGAAGTGAAATAGCCAGGATACGAACTAGCTCCCCATCTGGGATACCGACACTGTAGGTGATGGCGTTATCTGCTACAGTATCGACCCCTATTTTATTTTGTTTTGACAACCTTGTAGGTTGAAGACACTTCTAAACCAAAGGCTTCACACAGAATTCCTCCGAGACCCTTTAATTTGGTTTGAATTAAACTGTATGTGTTTTCTAAACAGATATCAACCACAGAAGACACAGTCCATGCTGGAAAACTGCCCCATGATGCTATGAATGATGTAACATAGAATGTGACAGTGACCAGTGGGATCTGGATCCCCAGAATGACTTCATCATCAGGACACCAGGGAGCAGGTCTCACTCTCCCAACACCCTTCCCCTGCCAGAGGCCAGATGAGAGGCAGCCAGTCACCAAGGCCTCCGTTGAGGGCGAGGGAGCATGCTCAGGCGAGCCTGGAAGGGTCTCACTTGGCGGTGGGCTCAGAGTGCCAGCTGCAGCTCTGCCCTTACCCTTACAGGCCAGACCGGATGAGAGGCGTCCAGTCAACCTGTCTCCTAGATGGGGGAGGGAGGTGCAGGCCTGGCGCCTTCGGATTCCAGGACAGTCCAAGTCCCCAAACCATGACAGAACTCCATTGCCAGGCTGGCTACCAGTGGCAGCGCCAAGTGCACATGTTACATGAAGCTGATGGGAAGAAGGATGCTAATTCCAGGGTTTCTCCTCTGGTATTTATATTCCACTTCAGAGACTGGCACAAATACCCTCCACTCTAACCTGGATCTGTGGGTAGCATGCAAGAGTTTCACAGACTGATAGATGAAAACCCTATCTTGGTTTATAATCAGGGAAAAAAAAATAAAACCCCCAAGTCTTTCATGACTAACCCACACTCTCTGATTATACAGCTGTTTAGTGCCACAGGAGATGTTTGTATTAGCTCTTTGATACCACTGTCAACATGACTTTGGTTCCTTCCATCCAGGTGAGCGTGCCCATGAATGGAGAGTTAGATCAGACACATATTAGAGTTTGAATTCAATAGATTTTAGTTTTAAACAAATATAGACCTCTCTATGTGCCCTTTTGGATGTGTGTGCACAACCAAAAATACTTCCTGTCACCGAGCACTGACTAGCATCAGACTCCCAGCCAGGGGCTGGACACGGATAAGCCAGGGGCTGGACACGGATAAGCCAGGGGCTTATCCTAATGAGGTTGTAAGGTTTTATGTAAACTAGCTGATTCTCTTTGAAACCAAACTTTAAACAGACTTCTTCCAGGGAAATGGACCCTACTTTTACCCACCCCTCTCCTTCCACTGTGAAGTTTGTGCCCATGCTCTGGTCCCCATAGTGCTGATTCGTCTGTGCTGATGGATCCTTCAGAAAACCCTCGTCCATTATTGTGACAGAACTGGCCTTGCTCACCCTGGGGGCAAGCTCATCACAGCCCAGGGAGTCGCAGAACCACTTCCCAGCACCGGCTGTTACTCTACTTGGAATGCAGCCAGGACAGGAGCATTTAGGGAAAATGAGGGAAATAGACATTCCTCCAGGAGGTGGTGGGTGGACAGCAAGTAGAGTCCTGTGTACTGGGACACAAACCCAACTCTAGTTGACCAGGGGGCTGTGAAGCCAAACAGAGCCAAACATAAAACATTCCTGGTTTCTGGAGTGGATTCTAATCTCATCGCTACCCGAGGTGTCTCAACAGCAGACTTAGTGCTCTCTGATCCAGCAGGGTAAAGCTGGGTGGGAAGTAGGGACATCTGTCTCATAGGGAGGACAGAAATGAGATGTCTGCCTGTCCTTCCACAATTTGCATGCCTACAGGAGGTCAGTGGACAGATGGCCATGCATTAAGATATGGACAAGGAAGGAGATCGCAGCAATATGGGTTTTTGGTTATGAGGAAGCAGTGCTTAATGATTCAAAGTGTGGAAGCAAACATTTTCAGGCCCATTATTTTCCAATCGATCTGTATTGATCTGAGGACAGAGAAACTGGGTCTGTTGACTCCACGCAACATTTTCAGGAAGCAATGGATTTTAGAAACAGTGTGTTAGGTGCTAAAGCTTACACCAATCACAATCTTAGAAAGACTTTCTGGTTATTTTGAATTGTCTGATGCCAAATAGTTACTCAATTATCTTGATAACATCACACCAGAAAGGCAGAGACTAAACATTTCAGGAAGGCAGGATGCCACAGATGCCATGGTGATGACCAGAGTCTGCACCACCACGCTGCCCTAGCACTCTTGCTCCTTCCCAGTTCTCTCTAATGGGTCAGCTTCTTTACTCAGACAACAAACACTGAAGGCCTCCAATTTAATTCTCGGTCCTTCTTCTCTGCTTCCACAATGGCTTGGATAGTCTAAATATGGCCCCCAGAGATTTCCAGTGTGGCAGTGTTAAGAGGTGGCAGCATCTCCCAACAGATAGTGCCTGGGGGGAGCTGTCACCCTTGGAAGAAATTAACACAGTTCCTGCGGAACCTTCGTTAGTCCCCACAGAATGGGTTAGAAAAGAAATGAGCTCCTGCATGTGTCTTTGCTTCCTAACTTAAGTGTGATCTCTTCTGCAGGCACTGCTACCAGTGTGATACCAATGGCCAGGAGGCCTTCACCAACAACCAGGCAGATGCAGTCACTTGGTTCTGGACTTCCAGGCTCCTATGCTCAGCCTAAGGCATTTTGTTACAGCGCAGAAAATGGATTAAGGTAGCTTCCATTAGGACCTGAGATTTCCCGATTTTGGACATCATCTATATTTGTCTTGCCTAATACTTCATCCTCTCATGATATGTGTGTATTTAAATTAAGAGTAACTTGGAGCAGGTGCTGTGGTGTAGCATATGAAGTCACCTCAGAGATACTGGCACCCCATATGGGTACCAGTTTGCATCCTGGTTCATCCATTTCCAATCTGGCTCCTTGCTGGTGGCCTAGGAAAATCAGCAAAAGACTTTCCAAATGTTTGGACCCATGCTATCCTAATGTTGGAAATCCAGATGAAACTCCTGGCTCCTGCCTTCAGCTTGGCTCATCCTCTGGCTGTTTTGGCCACCATAAAAGTGATCCAGTAGATGGTAGGCCTCTCTCTATAACTTCCAAGTAAATAAACACAGTTTTAAAAACCAGTCACTCTTTCATTCTATATGTGTACACACACACACACACACACACACACACAAAGAGTATTGGTGAATTCTAACATCATAAGAAGTTAAGTTAGGGCTGGTGTTTGACCTCGCAGTTAGACACTCACATCCCATACCAGAATGCTTGAATTCAGTGTCTGCCTCTGGCTCTTGACTCCAGCTTTCTGCTGATGCCGACTATGAGAAACAATAGTTGACACCTCAGCAACTGGCTCACTGTCACTCACATGGGAGATCTCGAGGGAGTTCCTTGCCCCCAGCTTTGGCCCAGTCCAGCCCAGCCTTGGGTGGTGTGGACATCTTGGGAGTGAGCCAGTGGATGAGAGCTCTGCCTCTAAGATTTGAATACTATTTATGGTTCTTCTCTATACTCTTGAGGAACAGTGGATTTTCCATTGAATATTTATACAATTTTTTTCTTTAGTGGAGGGTTCAGCTTCTGAGTATAAGGTAAACTGGAAAAGTATGTCATTATAAAAGTCAGAATAAAAGAAAGGAAGGAGGATGGAAGTGAGGGAGGGAAATAGGACAGTGTGGGAAGTACCATTATTCTCTTAAAGCGGAAATGCAGAATATGTAAAATTTATTCATTTTACAAAAATAACATTCTTAAAAATTAAGTCAGTTTTTAGTTGTTATCACTGATCTTTCTTTGGACTTTCACTAAATTCTAATGTGGGGTAATTGTAAGAGGACTTCTAACCATGTCTATGCCTTCTCCATCCCAGAAAATGGGCCTGTCAAACTGGACACCTTGATCCTTCCTCCATCAGTCATTAAGTCCAGCTAATTCTATATGTAGACATATTTTGTGTTGCTATCACTTTGATATCAGTTAAGGAAAAGGGGCTTGCATGTTAATGACTACAATAGCTTCTTTTCTTTCTTTTTTATAAAGATTTGTTTTACAGGCCAGCAGAATGGCTCGGTGGTTAAATCCTCAACTTGTGTGCACCGGGATCTCATATGGGCGCTGGTTCATGTCCCCACAGCCCCACTTCCCATCCAGCTCCCTGCTTATGGCCTGGGAAAGCAGTCAAGGATATTCCAAAGCCTTGGGACCCTGTACCCACGTGAAAGACCTGGAAGAGGCTCCTGGTTCCTGGCTCTGAACTGGCTCAGCTCCAGCCATTGTGGCCACTTGGGGAGTGAACCAGGGGATGGAAGATCTGTCTGTTTCTCCTCTCTGTCCGCCTACCTTTTCAATAAAAAAAAAAAAGAATAAATCTTTTAAAAAATTGCTGTATTTACTTTAAAGGCAGAGTTAGAGAACAGTAAAGAAAGAGAAGAGAGAGCTTCCCATGTGGGTGGGGTGGGGGCAATCACCAGGGCCAAATGGCAGGGAGCTGGTTTGAAACTGGAGCAGTTGTTATGCTAATCTGGGCTCCTATGGGATGCTGGCATTGCACGCAACTGCTTAATTTGCAGTGCCAGAACACTGGCATCTGAAGTAGCCTCTTAAATGGTAGCTCCTCTTTATTTTTTGTCCCTCTTTCAGCAATTTTTTTTTCATGGATACTGGGAAAGATGAGCAACAACAACAACCACAACAACCTGAATCATGTCTCTCCAGTGCTTTGAGTCTTTCAACGGCTTCCCACTGTGCTTGCTGGAGGACCGTCTGGGAGGAAGCTGGGCGGGGTCCGGCCCCTAGACCTGGCATCATCATGGGCCACTCTTCCCTACTCACAGAAATCCAGCTAACGCCTTGTCTGTGTTCTTCACAGCAGGAAGGTGTCCTCTTGTTCCAGTTGCTCCCTTGTCCTGGAAAGCTGCTAGAATTCTCTCACATTTCTTCTTCAGACAGTAGCTAGAGTTGGGCCTCCGCAGAAAGATCTCAGCCTCCTGGTCTGACATCTGTTACTCACTCTTATGCCACTTTACAATTGTACTTGTTGTCAGTTTGCCCATTTATTTATCACCTGTCTGCCTTGTGAGGGCACAGAACACACCTGTGCTGTTCACTGCTGCTCTCTACACGGTGTGTGACATTCAGAAACACTTGCTGGCTGACTGAGTGTGGTCCTGGCACAGAGCTTTCCAAACTGTGTTCCACAGATCATAATTTTGAAGGATGGTCAGAGGCTGGCAAACTACCCCCCATGGACTCAATCTGCACCACGGCATGCTTTTATAAATTAGAATTTATTGGAACACAGCCCTACTCGCTTGGGCCAAGGGTAGAGTTGGACCCTTATCTGGAAAAGCTTGCCAAGCCTTGCTGTATGAGACGATTTACAGCTTAAAAAAAAAAAAGATTCTATAGATCCAGGGTTTTCCTTGGAAAGTGGGTGACAGGAACTTTTCAGCTTTTCAATCACAGTAAATCGGTCCTCAGTATGGACTGGCTAGACCACAAGGAGTTTATTTGAGTATGAAAAGGAAATCTGAGAAATATTTTCCCGGGAAAGGACTCCAAATGCAGTGACTCGTCCAGGAATTTCCTGGGCCTTCTACTTGGGCTCCATAGTCTCCTGCTGTTCCCCCTCCTCCACCACTAGCACACTGTGAGATAGATCAATATAACCAGGATCCCCCGGCATTTTCTAAAGGGGAACCAGGATGATTGGGTAGTGACTTACTTTCTCTTGACTGTTGAGCTCCTGGTAGGGGATGTGGGCAGGCAGGTAGGTGTGCAGTAGGGCACAGAAGGCCAAGCCGTCGCTCCAGCTGCTGCTGAAATTGGTGATATCAATGTTCTGTTTGGAGGGAAGGTGGAGAAAAAGCAGGATGAATCTTTCTAAATCTGCAATGTCACAGGCTAGGAGGGAGGCTGTGTTGAGAGCAGTGTCTGCTTCTGGATTTTCAGGAGGACAATGTAGGAACAAACGACTGAAACAAACCATGCTGGGAATGTATCTAGCTTTGGTATCAGAGATAGTGTTGTGCGGCCCAAATTCATTCACAGAATTGCATGGGGCGGGGGTAAGGAAAAAGGCATCAGTGCCCAAGACAGTGTCTGTCCCTGGGAGATACATTCAAGGCTCTGAGACATTTTTCCCATTCATATCTCTGATTTGCATCATAAATCCTGACATTTCCCAAATCTTATCTGGGCAGGAAGGAATGATCACCATCATTGCCACCATCATTTCCAAAAGCTCGATTGACAACACAGAGACCAAGGTAAAGCAAGAGCTTAGAGACTCACCGGCTGGGGACTTCTAGCCACTGCATGGTGGCTGGGGGGCCCCAGGGTGGTGGTGTCTCATGCCTGGATATCACACAGCAGATACCACGCGCACGTGGGGAGCTGCCCTCAGGTGGCCAGTGTGCCATTTGGCGCTAGGCTCTGCTTGCTGGCCGCCCAGCCAGGGAGCTCTGGGATTTTGGTTCTTTGATTGCTGCTTGGATAGCTCCATGCTGAACCCTCAGTGCTTTGGGGACGTGAAACAATCCTCAAGATTCCCAATGACATAAATCTTCCTCAGATGAACCTGTAATTAATACGATCTCAACCCATGTGTTTTGAAAAATCGTAAAACCTAATATACTTTCAAATCCTTGTGCTACTCAGAAATGGGGTGGGAGAGCAAAGAAATCTTCCATCTCCTTTGAATGTGTGAGGAAGCCGTGTAGTGTAACCTATGAGGAACATGACAGGTAATTTATAGAAAATAGATTCCAAACAGCAATAGACAATAGTAAAACTACAAACACATACAGGGGGAATCAAGAGTGATCCTGACAATCTATTAACAGGAGGTCACATGCACAGAAGTGGGGGGGACCCCAGAGTGGAGCAGTGGGACAGGAGGAGGCTTGTATCTCAACCCTGGAGGCTCCCGGATCCCCACCAAGGACTATCAGTACGGGCACCAAGGACCACATCCCAACTGCCAAAGAGACCATGGGGGACTGGAATGCCTTCAGAGGCCGAGAACTCAGAGGACATCCCCCCTGCCCTTTGGACCTACCACATGGGATAGAAGAAGCCCGAATTCTTCCGCGTAGGATCCAAGGTCATCGGAACAACAGCCAGGAACCCTGAGCGGTCCTCAGAATCAGAACAGTAAACTTCCTTCGGGACTAGGGAGAGGAGCTTTCTCTGGTCCTTACTTAGTTCCAATTCTGGGGCCCCACCCTCTGCAATGACCACCAGGGTCGCTCCAGAGGCCCCCCCCCCCAAACACACACACACACACACACACACACACACACACACAGAATAGATAGGAAGAGAACAACAAGGAAAGACTGGTCAGCATGGACTCACACATACCTTACTAGGTAGGACGCAAAGAATAAGTACTCCTCACCAAGGTACTGAAGATTTCTCTGCACACCCCTCCTAAAACTGTTTTGCACCTCAATTGTTAAAATGTCATTGAAGTAGTCACAGGATGTTGTTAAGAACTTGCATTTAATTTTAACATATCGCTTACTCAATACTATGTCAATTAATTCCATAACGTTACATATTGTTGCTGATGGGGCTTTTGAGTGATCGGGATTTTACTTTGTTGGCTCTACCTTCAGACCAGAGAAGGTCTCCCCAAGAGGCCACTGAACTTATTTGGACAATAAGATGCTGGACTCTATGCTTGGTATATGCTTGCAATGAAGGAATCTCAACTGAACTTGAATTGTGGTTACACAACAAGGTGGAGGAATCCACCATGGGGGAAGGGCTAGGGGAGGGGTGGGGGGAATCCCAGTACCTATAAAACTGTGTCACATAATACAATGTAATTAAAAAAAAAAAGCTTGCAAAAAAAAAAAAAGACTCACTGGCTGGTCTTGAGGTTGGCTCCCACCACGCCCCTTCCTCAATTTCCTACTTACTCTGTGCAACAGCCTCCCTGCCGACACATCTTTCAGGTAGGGGTAACAAGGCTTCATAAGTTTCATGGGCAAAAGGACTGTGGCAGGACAGGAGAGGGTCCATTGCAACAGGGAGACTAAGATCCACCTTTACAGAGGTTCCCAGATGGTCCTAAGGTACCTCCACTGGTTAGCTCCTCCAACCAGCAACTTGACTAATTTACCTGACATGTGCTTACCCTGGCAAGGCTGTTTGCCCTGCATTCAAAAATCTTGTCTCAGACCCAGCGGTGCGGCCTAGCGGCTAAAGTCCTCACCTTGAACATGCCGGGATCCCATATGGGCACCGGTTCTAATCCCAGTGGCCCTGCTTCCCATCCAGCTCTCTGCTTGTGGCCTGGGAAAGCAGTAGAGGACAACCCAGAGCTTTGGGATCCTTGTCCCGCGTGGGAGACCTGGAAGAAGTTCCTGGTTCCTGGCTTCGGATCGGCATAGTACTGGCCGTTGTGGCTCACTTGGGGAGTGAATCATCAGACGGAAGATCTTCCTCTCTTTCTCTTCTCCTCTCTGTATATCTGACTTTGTCATAAAAAAGAAAAAAAATCTTTAAAAAAAAATTCTTGTCTCCCGAAACACTGTCGAGTTCCAAGGCTCACCTGTGCTTTAATGTTTAGGTAGTTCTAGGCAGTGGCCTCTCAAATGTATAACAACAGCTTGGGAGAGGAGATTTGCAAGAGATTGTAGAAGTGGGGCCCAGTTTGTGTTTGATTGAGCTTTAGGGCTGTGTTCTGCGTGGTTTTGTGGTGGTGGTAAGAGGAATTATGCAAGAGTAGGGCTGCTTCTAGTAATTTTCTCACAGTTGTGGGAACTCAGGAGAGGCTGAAAGGTCTTCTTTTTGTCTCCTCTTCCTCCTAACCCTCTGTCCTGGGAAAATGGAAGGCAAGCAAGCCGGCAGGGATGAAGTGGGCTGACCACTGCTGGCTCCTGATGGACGCTGACCAGCCGCTTCCCTCCATCTCATCCGTGTGAGCCCCATGACACCTGTCAGCTCCTGAACTGTCCAGGGGAGGTTCCTGCAGTGATTCTGTAAGAGCAATCTGTAGCTTAGCAGAAGAAGAAAGCTGCAGAGGAGCCTGGCATGAAGTCAAACTGAAACAGGAAGGGGGATTTTATGGAATTTTTCCCCAAGTATGTGTAAAGTATATGAGGGTGGAAATGTGCAATAAAATAATGGAATGTTTCCTGTGAAGTCTCCCTAGGGTTTTATTTGAGTTTCTTATCTAGGATTTTTTTTAAGACTCAATTGAGCTAGCAGGGCGCTTAGCAATGAGGATGGACAGACGCTTTACTTTACAGGCAAAGAATTCGAGGCAGGAAGAGCTTGTGCTATTTGTTACACATGGTTAATGTAAAAGATGAGAGACATGGGGAACCCAAGGCTCCACCTGCCTATCAAACCTTTCACTTGTAGCCAGAGTCCATAAAAATCCTGCTGGAGCCTGGGGCATCCCCTGCAAAGCCCTGGCTGTCAAGAAGATGATGTGGGGCCTGGCGCGGTGGCGCAAGTGGTTAAGTCCTCGCCTTGCACGCCCGGGATCCCATATGGGCGCCGGTTCTAATCCCGGCAGCCCCGCTTCCCTTCCAGCTCCCTGCCTGTGGCCTGGGAAGGCAGTTGAGGACGGCCCAAAGCTTTGGGAACCTGCACCCGCGTGGGAGACCCGGAAGAGGCTCCTGGCTTCGGATCGGCATAGTATCGACCCGTTGCGGCTCACTTGGGGAGTGAATCATCGGATGGAAGATCTTCCTCTCTGTCTCTCCTCTCTGTATATCCGCCTTTCCAATGAAAAAATAATAAAAATAAATCTAAAAAAAAAAAAAAAAAAAAAAAAAAGAAGATGATGTGTACCCAGTCTGTTTTGCAATTATGTGTCCATTTACCCATGAAAGGATATCTGGCCTAAAGTAACGCATGACCATAATAATGTGTCTTCATTCTGGTTTTCATGACTCAAGCACAAGCAACTTCTAACAGTTGCTAAGCATCACTGTTACATAAAAGTCTGAGAATGCCCTTGTAGAATGGGGCCCCATGTGGATTTTCAGGCTGACCGTGTAATAGGTAGGCCAACTGGGAAGCAAGCTGATCGGTTGGGCCTTTAGGCTTTCAAAACTATCTTTGGGTTCAACAGCAATCTAAAGAGGCCTTGACTCTACTACAGAAATAGAAACACTCTGATTTATAGTTTCTCAAGAGATTTGCATGTTAAAACACCACAAAGCAAAGAGACAGGTGGGGCTACATGAGTTGTGCAGCTTACTCAATGTCGTAAGCATGCAAAACAGCTGTGGGAGACAGCAAATTCTCATACTGGATGATAAAAAGGACCACCCAACCTCTGGAAATGCAAACCACATCATGATTTTTACAGTGTAATTCTCGATCGACTTTATTCATTTTTTGCTTTGCATAGTTTGCCTGAGTTTCTGTGTCTCATACTGCTACATGCTCAGTGATCAAGATCCTAGTTCTTTAAATGTAAAGTTCAGGAATTTTAGGGTGGGAAGGGTGGCAGTGACATTGAGTGCCCATTACTACACATTTTCTCCTTCACTATTTTTTTTGAAGACTTATTCTTATTTATTTATTTATTTTAGTGGAAAGGCAGATTTACAGAGAGAAGGAGAGACAAAGATCCTTGAGCTGAGCTGATCTGAAGCCAGAAGCCAGGAGCTTCTTCCGGGTCTCCCACACGGCTACAGGATTTCAAGGCTTTGGGACTGCTTTCCCAGGCCACCACAGGGAGCTGGGTGGGAAGTGGAGCAGCCGGGACACAAACCTGCATCCATCTGCTATCCCAGCACATGCAAGGAGTGGATTTATTTAGCTACAAGGCTATGCGCCAGGCCTACAGTTTTTTCCTTTCAGTACTCAGAG